TTTTTTTTTTTTTTTTTGCCGCCCCGGCGCTGAGGAACTGGCCCAGCCCGGAGCTGAGCTCTGCTGTCTGAACCCTCACACGCTTCCCTCTCACATCACGTCTCTCCGTCTCCGTCCCCATCCCCCTCCATCGGGGTGCGGGCCCTGAGCGCTGGTGCTGCGGGTTCCCCCCCACGAGAACAGGGCTTAGAGAGTTGCTGTGGCCCGCTGTTTCTCCCCGCTTCGATCTTTATTTTCTTTCTTTCCCGTGATTCCGAAGCGGCCCGTTGTCCCAGCCCGCTGTTGTCTGCCGGGTCTAGGCCTGGGGGTCGTTGCCCTGCCCCAACCTCTTTGCCTGCGGGAAGTGCCAGGCTCCCGGTCAAAAAGAGCGGTGTAGCCGAGGCCTCCGCCCGCGTAAAGAGGAGGGACCGGGTCCTTTTGTGAGAGGTGCGCTGCCTCTCCTGGCTGCTGGCCCGCGAACAGGATCTTCGGGACATGGCTTCTGAAGCTGTCGGGGAGGTGTGGCCTTCCTTGTTAAACCGTTGAAATTCATTGATCATGCAGCTGAAGACAGTTCAATTCTCTCAACAGTCTGCTATGGTTTTGTAACCTTGTTAGGCCTGTTTCTTCTCTCTTCCCTCCGATTGCTGCAGTTTTTCTTGTACACGTATGACTGGTCCCTTCCATTTTCAGTGTTTTTTCTTAGTGATGATCAGGGCAAGCAGGAATTAGAAGCTGCTTGAAAGAGGAATGAAGTGTGTGCTCTTTCCTCTGTCACGATATACTTCTTTTAATTTTGCAGAGGTTTTGGAATTTTTTTTTTTGTTCACTCTTTAAGAGCTGTTTTAAATGAACACCTGAGCATCCTTTTGGTGACTTTCTCTGGTGAACCAGTGACAGCACCTTTGCACTTACATAGGCTTACTGCCTGGGGAAAGTGAAATTTTGGAAGAGCAGTATAATATTCAAAAAAAATTTTTTTTATTGCACGAATGTTGTTATGCTTTTGTAGTGTTAGTTAAAAGAAAAAAACATTCCCTAGTCTGAGAGTGCTGTACCTAGCTGTGCAGTGACTGCAGCTGGTTCCTCAGGTGAGGTAAACAAAATCTGTTCTTTTGTTGATTGCTTGGACAAAGATGGCTATGTAGCTAAGCTCTCTTCAGCTGAATAAACTAATCTCTGAAAGGAAAACGGACTAAGTCTGAGAAAAGCTGAGAAACAAGTATGCTCTGTTGTTAATTTTTTAAAATTTTTACTTTAGTCTCTCATTTTACAGTAAGCTCTATTCTTAAATTATTTTCTTGTCTGTATTCCCACTGTGGTTTACTGTTAGGAAATGTTTATGTTAGGTTCATCCACAGAACCCTTGTGTTAGGTTCATTGATGGATCTGTTGCAAAGCTGATATAGCTGTGTGGTTTCAGTATTTCTGAACATAGAAGTAAAATAGCGTTTTGAGAGTATGTGAAATCTGAGAAGTCCTACGTAGCTGTTACTGTTACTTCTCAGTCTACTTGTTCTTTTTTTCGTGGTGGAAAATTTACCTGTTGGAAAGAGCTGTTGACTGTGTTGAGTTTTCATTTAGAAAAGGTCTATTCTTTTTTCCCCTTAATACTGGAATTTCTCAATCAATCTGGCATGTGGCAGTGTCTTGTCTACTGGAATTTTTTTTTAACTGAACATAGTGGCAGGTACTTGATTCATTTATAGTTTGGTGTTTTTGTTCTGCTAATGAGGAACACTCTTAAGCAGTTATTTTTTTCTTCAGTAATTTTTTTTGTTGTTGATGCTACTAAAGTACTTATAATAAATTATATTTCAGGCTGTAACATTTTATATCTCATTTTTGCTGAAAGTGCTCACAGACATAAAATTAAGCCTGTGTAACTTTGGGGCTTTAGTCTGCTCTTCCCAGTTGGATAGAACTTCTTGGTTCTTGGTGGTTCAGTTTGCTAGATGCAGGCATGTGGAACTGAGATAATGTGGCATAAGTTTTCAATAGGAGAAAGAACTGCAGAAACTGGAAGAAAGTTTGTAAGGAACCTGCTTTCCTGTAAATTGCCACAAATAATAATTCTGAGTACCTTTTCGGTTCTCTCCCCTCCCCCCCACTCCCCTTCACTGTAAATACTAAATAGTGTGATGTGCTTTTAAAAAACTAAATGCCAAAGGAGTAAGGGAGTTTGACTTTAGTTTAAGTCCTTTTATATTCTATCTGTGTTGATGCATATTGTCCCAAAAGCACTTCAGTGAAAGTTCTTGCAAGTAGTGAAGTCCAATATCAATATGAAGGTGCTTACTGATAGGTATGAAGTTGTTTCTTAGAGAGAGATTAATTAGAAAGTGTTTTCCTGGTTTGCCACTTCCTTTGTGAAGAAAAAAATGTTAATATAAAAATAATTATAATTCAGTTAATTTTTTAAAATTTTCCCACAGTATGATCAGAATTTTGCTTTTTAAAACAAGCTTAATTTTATCAGCATTTAGATACTGCCCATGTATATGCTTTGCCTCTAAATGATGCTATTAATATTATAATGTTAATTATTCTGAACAGGGAATTTAGAGTAATCTTGGAAATAACTTCTGTGTAATTTTATTTCAACTTAAGCAAGTTCTCTATCAACAATGTGGCTGGTTGAAGAGAAGAAATCCCTCCCTCAAGCAAGCATGGTGATTTAAGGGAAAGCAATTGACAGAAGAATTAGAAATCTAGTGGGTGTGCTAGAGCTAAGTTTATGGACAATAAGAAGAAAAAAAGATGTGAAATCGTGCTTCTTATCCAGTGACTTGAATTTTGGAAAATTAATAGGATTTTGTCACCACTGAATGTTCTTTGTGAGCAGGTTAGACAAATGAGATTTTTTTTGTCTTTTATTGCTGTCAGGTGACAGGCAACTTATTTCCTTTTATATTTGTTCAGTTATTTTTAATAACTATTCATTTGGTGTGCAGTCTGTGATGCAACTTTATTACAATGTTTCCCAGAGCAGTGAACAAATTGGAGTCTGAACAAACCTGTACTTCAGAAGCTCCACTTGAAACTTTGATCAGTTATTATTTTGAGCTGCTAATGTTTGATTTCTGTAATCTTAAAAGTTTAGTAGTTTTCTACCAGTATTAATGTGGTGTTTGTCTAAATAGATAAAACTTTTTATCAGAACAGAGATAAAACTCCATTTTAGAACTCCAGATTGGTTGTCTTCATTCAAATGAGATGCCTCTTCCCGCTCTCAGCAAGTCTCAGTGATCTCAGTCTAATAAAGCAGTTAAAGAAATACACAATTTTGTATGTGAGCCATCTTATTGAAGGAAATAGTTCATATGTATGCAAGCACAGGGAGTGGAATTCTGTTTCGCTGTTGTCTTCAACCTCTCTTGTAATGCCAGTCTGCCACCTCTGTGGAAAGGAAGGCACATTGCTTTCCATACCTTTTGAAATACAGGCTTGATGGTCTGTGTATGCTCAGGAGTTCTGCATTCACTTGGAGAGTGCTGTGATCTCTCTGGTTTCTAATGATCGGTGTTGCAAAGGAGGCTTTTTCTGGAAGTCAATTTTTTTTTTTTTTTTTAAATCAAGCTTAACAAATTCTAGGTTGTTCTGGACCATGTCAGCTGGGAAGACTGCTCTTTTTTGAAAACAAATTCCATTTCCTGTCTTCCATATATGATATGCCTCCCTGAAGAGGCATATTTTCAAGCCTCTGAGTAGAGTAACTTGTAGTTTCATAAAGTTTATTGCTGAAGCTGCTTCTTCCTTTTTTTTTTTTTTTTCATTTAATCAAAGCAGTATCATTGAGAAATGCATAAAGTTTGCTACTGTTGGTAACTTTTAAAATATATTTGTCTTCAAGATAGCACAACTTAGGAGTTGCTTTTTATACAGAAACTTATTACGTATAATATTGAAATATTTATAGAACAGCTAGATTAAGGGATCAGTTTTATTTTTAGTGTAGAGTGACAGAGCACAGCATAAAGCAAAAATTATTTAACTTCTCTTGTGAGTTTCAGGGAAAGTTGGTAGATTCCTGTCAAAACAGTGGTTAAAATATAATCTTGTCCTTTCTTATAAATGCGATGTTACTAAATCGACAGTTTATCCGATTAATGTAGGCTGCTGCTAAATTTCCGTTTCTTTCTTGACTGCTTATATTTTTCTGTCCCCTTATAAACTTGGACTTTATTTTTTTAGTTTGGGCAGGAGTTTTTAGCAGGTTTTTTGTAAGTCTGAACTATCATTTTACTGGCTTAATTGTATTACTAGACTACTTTTCATCCTGTCCTTCCCACACCCCCACGCCATGTGGGATTGGTATTTCTTCTTAACAAGGTTAAATGAATTTCAACTTAAATTTCTGGGTGATTTAATTTTTTTTATTTTTTCTTCCTTCACATTTAATTTCCCCTGTTGTGCTATAGAAAGTGTAATTTAAGGTTATTCAGTTCCTTTTATTTAAGGTCTCACTTTAAATTTTGATGGCCTTTCTGTCTGAAATGGTAAGCTGTGAAGTAAGGTATGGCAAAGTTCAGGACAGAAGAGTGGTCTAAAAGGAAGAACAATTTTGTCTACCCACCCATGTTCTTTATCATACCCTCTTATGACAGATGAAAAACTGAAAGACTGCTTCTTAAAGACTTCTGCAGTTGTACTCTGTGTAGAAGTGTTTGGAATGTTTTAAAAACAGTAATTATATTGGAAAGTAGCATTTCTTTTGAAGGATGTGAGGAAGATAAAGATAGATAGATAGATAGATAGATAGAAGATAGATAGAACTTGCATTGATTATATGGTTTAAACAGTTGTACCAGTATGGATGAAATGCCCATGAGTGACGTCTTGCTCAGTTGGACCATGTAAAGTTTTTGATAGTTGTGCAATGACTGGGTTTATGTGGTCATGAGGTAATGGAGATGGGGGGGATATCCTTTCCATACCACAACATTTCATGTGTTTTTTTTCTGTCAAGAGAGAAGGTAGAAAGGATGACAACTACTCCTTAGTGCTCTCTTTTAATGCTTCTAGCTGTGTATCTTCTTATCCAGAGAATCAGTAACTGAAGCTGCAGTCTTTAGATTTTGTGTTCACCTACAGTGATTTATTTAGCTCCAAGTTCTGCTTCTTGGTGAATCATTAATCCCATTTCCCGTTATGTACTTGAGGAAGGTTCCACATCCTATTCTGAGGAAGCATGCTGTTATTGATTCATATTTATTGATTTGTTGATTGATTTATTTATTTTATGTGGGGTTTTTGGTGTAGTTTTTAGTTTGTTTTGTTGTTTGGGGTTTCTTTGTTGTTGTTTTTGGAGGGGGGATTGTGTTTTTTTGCCATGTTATTGACAAATGTAGCATTTGCTTTGAAAGGGAAGTCTGATCTGGAGAATACTAGGAAGTTAGCTGACTCTCTCTTCCTACAGGCTGTGTGACAGCAGATTTAGATAGTTTGACATGGTCACAGTGAGTATCTGCCTGTAAGTTCATAAGGGTGAAAGCAGTGACTGGACAGTTGCGTAATAACGTAACTTAACGTTAACTTAACGTAACTTGCGTAAGACAGTTATGGGATGTGAAACTGAGTTTAAGAAACGCGGTCTTATCTGTGGCCCTTAAATGACTGAGGATCTTTAGAACAGAAAGATAAGAAAATGTTGAGGATCCAGAGAGAAATTTTATTTTTCTCTTTTAAGCAGTGGTTATCTGGGATAACAGTGGAGCCAAGATCAGAATGTCTGTATGGATTCAAGACTAGTACAGAATTGAGAGAGTTTAATGCTTTGGATAATAGAGGTGTCTGTTTGCTCTTGTTAAAGATTACATACTAAGAAAGACTGTTAACTTTAATTTTCTTGTTCATGTTGCAGAATGGATAAAAATTGTTTATGCAGAACAATTGGGTCTGTCTGTGATATAGACTAAGATATAGCTTGTTAATTATTTCGTTGTAGTAGGAAGTAGAGGAGGAAAATTCTTCTAAATCTCCCTTTGACTCAGTGTTCTGAATCTCTTAATAACTGCCTGTAGTCTTCTGATATAAATCTTATTAGGTACTTTTTCAATGTCAGCCATAAGTCCTGATACTCCTGCAGATTATTGTGATTCCCTTAGTCTCCTTTTGAAGCACTGTAGGAGATATAACTAGGTGATCTATGTTGAATCAGAAGATGAGATGCCAATGACAGACACAGTATGCAACTGCTAACAGGTAATCTCTCTTTAGCTGCAGTTTACATCTATAGTTACTATGAGGAAGTTGGAAATGTGTAAGAACTTTCGCTGTCACCTCTGTCACTCAGGTTTTCAAGTTGTGTGTTTGTGAGTGCAGCCCCAAAAGGGCTTAAACAAGTAGTTCCAAAGGGACTTGACCTAAGTGAAATGACGTAACATTTGCTCTTGGCAACTTAGTACAGATTCATTGTCATAACTGACACTATTGGGAACTCTGTGGGTGGTGTCATAATATGCTTCAGTTGAATGGATAAGACACTAAGCTAACTTTTACATTGCATGGCAGTGATTCAGTCCTCGGTATTTTTGGCACTTACCAACACATTTACATTGTGCCGTATCTGTTTTTTCCTTTTATGCTTTTTTCAAGTTTCCAAAATTCTTATTGTTCAAGAATTGATTTTTCAAATGCAAAAAGCATGGACAACATAGTATCTTTATGAAGGAGTGACTGAGAAGGGTGAATTCCTTGTCTTTTTATTGAAGGATGTTTTCTAAATATGAATGATGTCACATTAAATGTTTTTCTGTATTGCTGATCACTCTTACTAAGGAGGAAAGTGGAAATAATTCCCTGAGAAGTTGGTAATTGTTGCAGGGGATGAAGTATAAAGGGAAGAATTAAGGAGGCTCTCAAACAATGAAGAGTACAAACATAGAGGCGAGGTAATTTAAAAGGACATCAGTGCTTCTAAAAGGAAATGTATTTTTTTTATAGTGACTGGTGGATTTCAAATGTAAAAATAAAAACACCAAATAAAATTTGGTAATATTTCGAGGCACATACATCCTTTATTTCAGTGAAAATCATGTAGCTAGATCAGCAGAAAGCTAGCTTAATAAGGGTAACCTGTAATGCAGACCTGATTATATGATCCATGTGTCACAGCCAAGCTTTGAATTTGGCCTTTGTTGATAATTTTGACAGGCACGTCATCCCAGTAGGTGACACTCTCTGTGTCCCTTGTCCTTTTTATTGAGGTAAAGGGGAAAGGTAGTGTTGCTGTAATGCTTGTTAATAAGGACGTCTCTCAGGTTCCATTTCCAGGGGATTTATTGTCTTGAAATGAACAGTGTCCTTTGAAAAGAACTTCAGCCTGAAGTACTGAAGAATTTAACTGCAAAAGCAAATGAAAATCTGGACGTAGGTAGAGTAAGAAATCTGTTGAGAAAAACGTTGTGAAGACAGGCGGGAGGAGAAATTATGCAAATAAAATGTGAAACTTATGGGAAGGGAACTTGCTATGTGTTTTTTCATTAAGAATTTTGTATATTTTTGTCAAGTTACAGATGCATATAGCATACTATGCTGTAGGATTTTTTTTTTATAGCTGATCTCCCTAGAAATGCTGTAGAGTATAAATATAAAGTGAGGAAATCCTAAGCTACTCTGTTTGCTTATTTTCCTAGTTTTTCTCTTGTGTGCATTATAATGGAAAAAAAAACCCTCCTGTCATTTATTGTATTGCTTTGAACTGCACTATTATACATGTTGTTTTATATGGATTAAGTTGTATGCAAGGAAAACAGGATAACAATGAGGAAGAAAAATAATTTGTCTTGCATATATCTATGTATATGTATTATGTGAGTAAGTATGTGCATAGATAGATTTTGACTGGAAATCTTAGGATTCTGTTGAACTGAGAGTGTCTTAGTAATGTGTAGGAGTAGAATTTGAGATATTTGATACTGAGAAGTGCCTAGTTATTATTTTAGGGGGGAAATCACAGTTATTTATATCAATAATATATTTGTGCTAGTGTTTAGTGTGTCTATGTATCTTGCAGAAAAATCTAAAAGGGGAGGAGGGTAGCTTTGAAAATACAGTAAAACACTGAGAACTCAGTAAGCTTATTGTCAGACCATAGACACTTATACAGTTTTAAAGATATTTTTTTTTAAGTTGTTTTATAAAATAGTTTCTTGCACTTTACCTGCTGGCTTTTAAATTTGGTAGATAACATCTGAACTCCAGCAGAGTTTTATAATCCCCACGTGCTTAAATATACTAAATGTTCTTTTTCCATTAAGGTTAATGTTCGTGAAGAAATTGAAGAGTTTTTTCCAAGAATGTGGAAGATAAATCAAGATAAAAGAAGGCTAATGAAAAGTATTAAAGATCAGAAAATTAAAATTGAATGGGGGAAAAAATTGAACAGAAGATTGGTCAGATAGAAGCACTTGAATGTTTTTTTGAGGCTATAATGAATTGTTTGAATTGGGGAAGAATACACGAAGTATGAAAAATGAAAAACTCAATGAAGAATGAAGAAAAGTAGAAAGCAAGAGTGAAGTAGAATTAAAAGAATCTGGAAGAATGAATGGGTCCTAGGTTAAGTAAATGTATGGTTTATGTTCCAGTGTCTGTATGATCAAGTTGTAGATGAATTTGCATGATTACTTAGTTAATAGAGAATTGGTGATCTGGTTCAAGCAGGGACCTATTTGAGGAAAGCATACAATATTAACAGTGGGTTAGCAAAATGAAATTTGTTTTGGAGGGTATTGCCTAACCATTTGTTTTTCAGGAGCAATCAATATAGTAGAATTACTGTACTTTAAATGTTAGGAGTTAGGCATTTATACAGCCAATACCATTTTTAATACTGTCTTTTTTGTTAGGAGTCTCGCTCCCAGTCAAAATCTCCAGCTGGGAGTCCTGCTCGTGTAAAATCGGAGAGCAGGTCAGGATCTCGCAGCCCATCGAGAGCTTCCAAACATTCTGAATCGCACTCTAGGTCAAGATCAAAGTCAAGGTATGTCCAGGAAGTTATTCATTGTAATGAAGTGTTACTGCTTATGCCTATTCCTTCAGTACATTGAGATTTATTTTCTCCTTGTTACAAAAATTATAAACCTTCGCATGTTAGTGGTTATATAGGTGGACAAAGTTGGGGAAAGATTCCATGAGTAGCAAAGCATGGGTATGAAAGCAATATAAATAGAAGTAATCTGGAAATCTCAACTAAAGTTTGTAGGTTTATATCTTCCAGAAGAGGGAAGAGGGATTGCATCTCAGTTCTGTAAAAGCTCGTGCTTCCTTCCCCCAAAATCTTTGGGGGGGTGGGGGAACTCTGTGTGAACCCCCCCTTTAAGAAAAAAAGTCAAGTGAGAACTGCAGCAAAGTTAGTCTGGGTTAGATGAAAGGAGTAAGCTCTATAACGGTTGGAAATGTTGGAAGATGCTGCATGGGGAGGATTTGAAAACAAAATTGAGGCTCTAAAAACAAAATACAAAAACTGCAGCTTAAATTAGACATGGATAACTTTTTTATTTGTGGGAGCTTAGGATTTAAGTTACTTTTTGATGCTGCACATGTCCGTCTCTGCCCTTTCCTACCCCAAGTGTGTGTGTGCAGAGGCAAAGCTCTTGGTTTTGAGAGAGCATGCTCAGAGTAGAGGAGGAATGTCTGTGGTTTTTTTCTCTAAATATGTCATAAATATTACCTGGGTTGTACTACCTATCTTCTCTCTTCCCTTGTACCATCAAACTGGTGGAAATGAGGAGAGCTACTGAATCCCTCTGTCATCAATAGAGGAACCAGAAAACAAATTTGCGGCTCTGGAGGGGGAAGAGAAATTGCATAGTATTATGTTGTTCCCCCTGCTCAGTTCTTGGGAGAGATCAGTAATCCATCCAACCCTATTTATATACTTTATACTAGGGCAACCGAAAAAAGAGTTACTGTGCTCTGAATTCCCAAAGTTCAGCCTAATGTTATAGCTTATCTTCTTGCAGCATTTAGCCAGATAACTAACTACCTTTTAGGATATAATGTCCATATGAAATCATGCAACTTTGATGAAATGATGCCTGTTTAAAACTGAGCTTGTCGTTGGCTAGGTGTCTGTGAAGACATGCTTGAGGAGTTAAGCAGGGTGGCTTTTTTTTGGTCTTGAATAGTTTTCAAGCCTGGGTGAATTTCCTTTGTAGATACCGCAGCACTGTAGTATGCACAATATAAGTTTAAACTTTGAACTTCCCAAAAACTGTCATGAATACAATCCTCATTGTATGCCAGAAGCACTCTCACAAAGTTAAAAATCATGCTACCAAGGAGGTTATTGGAGATCTGTGCAATCTTTGTATGTGCAAAGTAGAAGACACTTAGCTATTTAAATTGTGGAGAGCCTCTTAAAAAAAGGTTTTTCTCTAGGAAATGTAAGGCTTACAATTCAATATATTATTAGCACATGGCCTAACTAAAAGCTTTCTTTTTGTTGAAGATCCAGATCGAGAAGACATTCGCACAGACGTTACACTCGTTCCAGATCCCATTCCCATTCTCATTCCCATAGGAGACGTTCTCGAAGCAGATCGTACACACCAGAATACCGTCGTCGAAGGAGCCGTAGTCATTCTCCAATGTCCAACAGGAGAAGGCACACTGGCAGCAGAGTATGTCATGTTCATCAAGGCTGAGTATCAATGAAACAATTGCTGCTTACATCAGTGTAGTCCAGGTTACCTCCAGACCTACTGTCTTGTCACTGGAGGTTATGGGAATTGCCAGGGGAGTGCAGCAATCTCTGTCCTTACGGCTGGGCACTTATTTCTTGGGCCTGCAGCTGGCAGGCCAGTTGTAGAAATTTATTGAAAACCATCCCATTGCAAGTCAGTGTGTGCAGATAGGGTGGCATCTGCTTCCCCCTGCTCTAGAAGTAGAACCCTTTCTAATTTTGTTACAGTTCCAAGTACATGTACCCTTCACAAAAACAAGTCCTTTTTCTGTACGTGCTTGCAACCTGACATTATTGGTAAGATTGACTAGAAGAGCCAAAGAATGAAATTCTCAAGTGTTTTATTTGCTTATAACATAAAGCATGTTATGTTGAAAGCTGCTTGTGATTTTATAGTTCTGAGTAATTAATTTGGTTTAACTTCAAGAAATAAACCCATGTGTTATTAGCTAATGTGTAAATCTTAATAGACTAGAAAAATTTACAGTTATGAAAAGGATCGGCAAGTCTCTTAAAATGTATACCAACCAAGATCTAAGATTCTAATCTTATGTTATTCTGAGAGATTTCTCCTAATGGCCTTCATTATAATCCATTTCAGTGCCTTAGCTTCTGGTTCCACATCATTTCAGACTGATCTAAATGAGTGCTGTTACACACAGGTCTGCCTCTTCCTTGGTGAAGGCTGTTGTAGTTTTCTGATCCTTTTATTAGTTTTAATCTGGTTTAAGTTCTCTGAAGTTGTTACTAATCCTGTCAAAAAAAGAGTATAGTTTTTTTTGCAGGCTTACCTTGGTGAGGCAGCTCACTAGGACCAGATAATACCAATGTGAGGGAGAAGACAAGAGTGTGTGGAAAAGGGCAAGACTACAGCAGTGCTGACGTACAGGGGCTTAAACTGTTGTGAAGCAGCATTCATGGTTATGCTTTTTGAGGATTGTTGCCACTGTGTAATCATGATGTAGTAAATATTAATCTAATGTCTTGAAAAATTGCCAGGAATAACTGAACTTCAAAAGGGTTCGCAGATTTTTTCTGGTGAAAGATTAATGAATTCAGTTTACTAATTTAGGAAATATTAGAATATTTTTCTCTGTGAAGGATTCTTTTTGCCTTGGAGATGACTCTGTGAAATATTAAATTTATTTTCACACAAAATTTCACATTAATTCTAAGGAGTAGTTCTAGTAGTGTCAAAACTAAAATCAGATTCGAATCACCTAGCAAGGTCCTAAAGACATGAGGAAAATTGGTAGCAATATTGCCACTTCTGATCTTGTGGAGACAGGTTGCATACTATGTTAATGGGAGGCAGCACAAAAACCTAATACAAAAGCTCTCTTTTGGTCCTCCACAGTCAGTTTAGTCCTTGCAGTAGTGATGTAACTGTCACTTGTGGCTTAGGGTGCACAGACTGATTCTTGGTACTTCTCTTGCCTCAGAAAAGGTGGTAGGATTTAAGTGTAAAAGGGATGTAAAAAAAGGACAACACTGATATGTACTCTGTGGGGGGACTTGTCCAAACAATGATTTAAAAGACAGAAATATTTCATAAGACTCACAAGAGTTTCAGTAATAAAAGTATAGCCGTTAATGCCACTGAATTATCAGATAGCTTGAAATATACAGATTCATGTTTCTTTTTTTACTCCATAATTAAAACTTTCAAATGTCAAACTGCCAGTTTTTGTTGTGCTTTTCAACTATAATAAGGACTTGTAGAAGATTCAGGTCTTAAAACAAGAGTTTGAACTTTGACAAATGGAAATAAAGACACTTCAAAAACATGAGTAGTTTGGGCATCTTATTTTCACAATGGATTTCTGAACAAAAACTCTGGAAAGAACGTGACAGAAGATCTAAATCAGGCTGAAAGGCAAGCTCTGAGGTGTAAATTACTGTGCATCAGTGGCTTTGAAAATCAAACTAAAATACAAATTTTTCCTGTGTCAATTTCAAGTTATTATTTTAGCAGAAACAGTAAATCCCTATGCCTGTTGCTGCCATTTTGTGCCAGAAGCTTAACTGAAAAAGTTAATTTTGATCAAAATAATTATTCCGGTGGAATTGGCATTAGATGAATTCTCTGGCATGTAGAGAAACTTTGAACCTAATAGAGAAATTGTGCCTTGAGCAATTTCATATTTGACTCCCTTTATTTGAAGTGAAATGTATTAAATAGATCTGTATCCCACATCATGTTAAAGAAGCAAGAGTCTTGCTCTGGAAAAGCATGCATGCTTTTGGGTTACAGTTTCACAGAACTGGCCTTCAGCACTTGTTACTATCTAGATGGAAGAAGTTGGTGTTTTTCATCCAGTTTACAAGCAGACAGAGGTAAACTTTCAAATGTGAATGCTGACTTTCAGTATAGTTGTATGGGAAATGTTGATGAGTGAGGAAGTTTTGGTAGCAGCTAAGTTACAGTTCATCTGTCCATGCTTAGGGGCTCATGTGCATTTAGTGTATGCAACTGGAGGTAGCATGAACTCTCTAGTACCAGTGGTGATTCAAGTGTGAATTACTAATAAAATAGGTTCCTGTTATTCTGTAGCTTTTTATCATCGGTTTTTCACCAACATGAGAAGTTTGTCTTGTCTTTTTTCTAAAATAAAAATAATGAATGTAGTTGCTTTTTGAAAATATCTTACAGTTGAAACTATAATTGTTGAAGTGTTAAGCTTTGTAATAAACTATGTTTAGTTTTCTTCAGAATAAAAGTTTTTAATAAGTGAGAAATTTTTATATGAGCATGTATTACTTGTTTTTTATAAACTTATTTGGAGTTGAACGTTTGTCTTACCAGGCTAATCCAGATCCTAATACATGTCTTGGAGTGTTTGGTCTCAGTTTGTATACTACTGAGAGAGATTTGCGTGAAGTCTTTTCCCGTTATGGACCTTTGACTGGTGTTAATGTGGTTTATGATCAACGGACTGGACGATCAAGAGGATTTGCTTTCGTTTATTTTGAGAGAATTGATGATTCTAAAGAGGTAAGTGCCTACTTTACTACTTTTAACAGATGTGCTCTTTGTGCATTGTTTTCACAAATATCTGTTAAAAAAACTAAACGAGCAAACCAAAAAGTTAAAGTATTTTTTTCAAACAACATGGCACTTTTAAACAGATGAAGCGTATTAGATCAATGTTCAGATGCTTGGGTGAATTTTGAGCATGACCTATCTGTATTGAATCACTAATGAGCATTGTGCTTTGATTTTTAATCTATTACTTCAAAATGAAAGTAAATCTTTAGAACAGACATAGAAATCTCCTAGTATTTGAAATATTTTGAAAGGTAACTTTTCAAGGTAGTTTTCTGCATCTATCAAAATTATGAAGACTTTCTTAAATTTCCATTTTCTTCTCCAAAAGCATGTCATCGTGCATTTGAAAAATAGTAGGGTTTATCTTGGTTTGTGCCTTGGTCAGTGACTTTGCTAGTTACATGAATGGCTGTTTACAGCTGGACTGAGTTGTTAATATAATTGATGTGTAAGGAAAGATCAGAATATGAACAGCAGCCTATATTATGCTTCACCACAGTAAGCAGTACTTTTTTTAACTGTGTAAGGTACTGTGAGCTTAATGACATTTACTGCAATTTGTAGATTAAATTGCTATTAAAAGCAAAGAGACATCCTTTTTTCTTTTTTTTTTCTTTAAGCCTTCACTGTGGGATTATCTCTTTTGGGCAAACTGAGTCGCAGACTTCAAGCATCTTGTTTATGGATTAGTAGTCTTGGGCACATGTTTCAGATTTGCTGTTTGATTCTGTTTACCTTTGATAAATGTATTCATAATGCTTGGGTATGACTCTTCGCACTTAGCATTGAAGGGAGGGTGACAGCTATCAACCCTGCTGTCAGTAGCTGAAAAGATGAAACTGGTGCTAATTGATGATATTTTAATAGAAAAAAAAAAAATTGTGGATTACTTGTTTGAACCAGACTCACTTCTGATCTTCGACTGGTTTTGTGGTATGATCCAACAGAGAATCAGTTTATGGGAAGAGTAGGGTTTGTAGATGTGTGTATGTGTGTAGTTGCAGGTTATAGGGGTAAGTAAAAGGACACAAAACTTCCTTTAGTGTCCCTTCTGTGTTTTCTCGCTATAACTAGGACAGGCTGAGAGAGGAGTCAGTGGGGTGGATATCTGTATATCCATCTTTAGTGGCTTACTCTTTTCTAACTTTTAGCCTTATATTTTTTTTCACTCTTGAATTCGGTGGGATTTTGAAAATGTGACTGTTTTGTAGAATGTTTAATGTCTAAAATACTTGAACGGTATTTCTTCTCACATTTGTGTGCCACTCTTCTCTATTTTACAACTTCATATGCCTTTAGAAGTTGTGTTTTCTCCTAGTTGCCATGGGCAATGGTCATGCATGACACCATGCATTTCTTAAAATGTTCTGTGTAAAAAGCATGAAGTAATTTGTTTAGTATAAAGCTGTTTTGGCAGATACTACCAAACTGGAAGGCAAAGAAAAAAAAAAAAAAAGGGATATTTCTTGCAGTCAGAAATACAGAAATAAAGATGAGCACCTTAAGCAGGAACTGGAATAATTGGGAATGTAATTAAACCCATTTTTTTTTCTCCCCAGTGGTCTGGTACATGAAGAACGGGAAACAGCGCACAATCTCTCAACACTTTTTTAATTTACATAACTTAAATTATTTGGCAAAGAGGACAGGAGAAAAACTTATCTGACTTATTTCATGGGCCCTGAGAACAAATTTGAAGATGGCAATAAGTGGCGGCTAGTGTAGAAAAAGGGGATATAGCTATAGGTGTGAAGCTCTGTGATAGGCCCTGTAGGAGAACGCTGAAGGACATGAAGTAATTATCTGTGTGGAAGATAGATCAAATCTGAAAAGTTGAGTATGCATAAAAGCAATGACACTTGAATTGCTTTTGTTCTGAGTAAATACCTTTCTTCTTAAAAACAAAATCAAACAAAAACAAATAAAAAACCCCCAACACCTTGAGCATCCAAATAAAGAGAATATAAAACTTTAGATGAGATGTTGAACTAAATTCTTGCCCTCTTAATGGAGTCGTAGATGGACTAAGTATGTATAGAACTCTACAGAAAAATGAGGATTTCCCATCATCTTCACTATTGTCCTTCCCAGAGAGGTAACACAGGGAAGCCTCTCAGCTGAGATGCTCTCAAACACTGTTACTGTTAAAATTTGATACCAAATTAATTGTGAGTAGTTATGTTTAAACTTCCATGATTTGGTTTAAGATAGGTCAATATCAGTATTGTGTGTATTCTGTTGCAACTGAAATCCCTCAGGATCTTTGTCATCACTGGTTACCACTCTTACAAACTGATCAGTTATTGAGCTAGTTGAAGTGTTGCTATGTGGCAAGATTCTGAAACCAAACAATGCAGTGTTTCTAGTTTCATATGGTGATAAAGACATTTTGAATTGTCAGCTAGCTAAATGTTGTAGAAATCCATAGGCAATGTAAGATAGCATTTCTTAAAGGTGATACTTTGCAGTGTCCTAAAAATATCAAAGGGGCAGAGGTAAAGTTTGTTTTCACTTAAGCTGGTTTAGACTTTCAGAACTTCAGATTGTATAACAACATTGAAGCCTTGTCATTAACTGTTTCTGATCATCTTGATTATAAAGAGTAGCAGAGTTGGGTTTTGATAGCTACTAGGTAGAGCACCTGTCAGAGCATCACAGTAGGTTCAGTCATTCCACCTTAACAGTGCTGGGAAAGAAATGTTGGATATGCGTGTATCCATTCTAAAGGAGATTTTTTGGGCAATCTCTTCTACTCTGTTTGAAACTGTGAGATTAAGATGAAGCTTTATGGTCTGACAGAAGGTTCCTTTTCCATCAAATATCTTTTATTGCAATGGTCTAGTGTTTGTAAGATAGCACTTGACTAGGTTGTTACGTTCTGACCCATGTTGAAGATGCTCGTGGACACTGTCTTTAGTTCAAAACGTGATAGCAGACAATAAATGTTGAGAATTGATGGCTGTTTGTCCAGAAAACCTGACATTTTGCTGTGCTAATGTTCTTTTTGGTATGCTTGTTCAAAGCCTATTTGAAGACCTTATGTTATTATCTACCTTTTTCTAGAAGAAAGTGTTCTCTCATATGGGTGTAGTGGTTTTCATTTTTTGTGAAGTTGTGTTGGGTTTTCTTTAAAAAAAAAAAAAATCCAAGTTTTGCTTTTTTGCCTTGTGTGTTGCAGTGTCTTGTCTTATGTTGGCCACCCTTCTGTAAGTCTTCAGAACCACATGTGCAATATTAGGCAAAGGGTGAGATCTGTAAACATCTGTTCGAGACCTCTTTCTCAAGATTGGCATTCTTTCTTATATAGTTCTCAGTATTGGCAACGCTGCCACTGAGCCAGTGTTGTATTATTGCAGTTTTGCAATATTTTCGTTAAGTTATACAGGATATTCACCTACCCATCATATTAGCATTTTCTTCCTATGTTTAGAGGAACACAAACTTTTATGTACTAGGATGACGGGAAAAACAAAGTTGAGGGTGGGTTTGATTATCTCAAGGTTAACAGTAAATTGAGAAGATTATGATTTTATAAATGTGAGGATTATTACATTCACTGTAGGAGATCAGGTTCAAGACCATCTAAAGAATCTGAATATGCACAAGTCTATGGGACCTGATGAGATGCATCCATGGGTCCTGAGGGAAGTGGTGGATGAAGTTGCTAAGCCACTCTCCATCATATTTGAGAAGTTGTGGCAGTCTGAAGTTCCCACTGACTGGAAAAGGGGAAACAAAAGGAAATAAGGTAGACCTGGGGAACTACAGGCCAGTCAGTCTCACCTCTGTGCCTGGCAAGATCGTGGAGCAGATCCTCCTGGAAACTATGCTGAGGCACATGGAAATGAAGGAGGTGATTTGTGACAGCCAGCATGGCTTCACCAAGGGCAAATTGTGCCAGACAAATTTGGTGGCCTTCTACGACAGGGCCACAGAGCTGGTGGATGAGGGAAGGGCAACTGACATCATGTACCTGGACTTGTGGAAAGCATTTGACACTGTCCCACATGACATCCTTGTCTCTAATTTGGAGAGACATGGATTTGACGGAAGGACCACTCGCTGGATAAGGAATTGGCTAGACGGCCGTGCTCAAAGAGTGGTGCTCAATGGCTCAATGTCCAAGTGGAGACCAGTGACAAGTGGTGTTCCGCAGGGGTCAGTACTGGGACCAGTGTTGTTTAACATCTCTGTTGGAGACATGGACAGCGGGATTGAGTGCACCTCAGCAAGTTTGCCGATGACACCAAGCTGTGTGGCGTGGTGGACACGCTGGAGGGAAGGGATGCCATCCAGAGGGACCTGGACAGGCTTCAGAGGTAGACCAATGCAAACCTCATGAAATTCACCAAGGCC